ATGTGGTGCTGGAAGATTGAACCGCGGTCCCTGTGCTTTGCCAAGCTTGTTCCAAGTAGGTGCTTTAGACCACTGAGCCATCTCTCCAGCCCCAGCATCAAGTTAATTTTAATCTACCATTTCCTGCGCAACCCACAGCAAGAATAAACACACTAAGGCATATGTATATTTATGGGGAGCCAAGGGGTCCTAAGTCCAGCTGTGGTGATGGCTATCCAGAACAAAGGCCTTGACCCAGGACTGAACCCCAGGTTTTATTTAGTCATTAAGGAGGAGTGGCTGAAGATAAATGATTGAGAATTGTAGGAAGTAGATGAGTGGTGTGAGCTGAGCTGCCTATGTAGAAGAAGTAATTTGCATTACACCATTGAGATAGTATCTAATATTTTGGGGTCTGATGCTTTAGCTCTGATGTATCTTTCAAGCCCCAGGAAGTCATAGCTTCTGTCTTGAAGCTCGGTCCCAGCCAACAGCGTGGAGCACTGGCTCTTTGTCCTGTCTTGACCTGGCTCATATGAAAGAGCAGCAGGTGTGGGTTATCAGGGAAACATGCATGCCTTCTTCAAAGACTACCACAAGCACCTTGGCTAGACCAATATGCAGTGCTTAAAGTCAATTAAAGAGATTTAAAAAAAATCCTAGCCAGCTCTATATACATCAATACATGGAAATAGGGTCAGGCACAACCAAAATGGAGATAATTGCTCCTTTCAAGGAGAGCTGCTCCAGTGGACCTCCACGGGGTGGTCCCCAGTTGGTCTTTGCACTTGAAGCTCCATGCCCATGTGTCTGTCATCTACCAGTTGGGAGCCATGGGTCTGCTGCAGCAGGCTTGGGGGGGTCCAGATAGGTGCAGTCAGCAGGACTTTCTGGCTATGGACACCAGGTTGGAAGGCTCTTGCTGCCCAGCCTCCGGCATTCTTAGCTCCCTGCCTCAGGCAGGAAATACCTAGTCCTGCTTGCTCCACATAGCAATGGGCTCCCAAAAGTCCTGGCCTCTGAGGAACCCTCCATGATAACCATGGGTGGCTTTGCTATTCTCACTCAAGACTTCAATTTTCTATGACCTACCCCAGAGGATGTGGCACATACCAGACCCAGCTCAGGAGTCCATCCTAAATATATCCTTTTCTTGAATCAGGCCAAAGGACCCCATGATCTAGGACAGTGATGATGAACTTTTTAGAGCTTTCAATGATAACAGCCTGCTTCCGCACACATGCTAAATTGTAACTGGTTTAGGGTGATCCCATCTCATCTACCAGTACTATCCAGTGGCTGTGTAGGGCTCCAGATTCTGCTTATCACCAAGAGCTCCAGTCCCAGCTCTTCCCTAAGGTTTGGGAGTACGAAGTCTGCCTCAGGATCTGGGCTCTGGGAGAGGCCACAGCCAGCACAAGGGCCCAGTGGCTGAGCTGGGCTATGGAATCCACCCTTCCCTTATTTCAAAGCTGCTGCCTCACAGTAAAGACTTTAGGAAAAAAAACAGCCTCTTTTCACACTCCCCACACTCCCACCCTATGGTAGCTATGCTCCTCTGGGTAAGCTCGTGGATCTTACTGAGGAGTCCAGGACCCACCAACATGAGTTCTCTGGGAGACAGTAAACCTGACGGGTAGGTCTAGCTTGTCCTGGCATTCTGGGTCCAGCAGCTGGGTTGGGCTCAGGCTAGATGAGAGGAAGCCAGGTGGGAGAAGGGTCCAAACAGAAACCCAAGCCAGCCAGGGAGGAGTCAGTAAGCAGGACTATGAAGGCAGGAGAGCTCAGTGGCCTTGGACCCCACTGGGCAGAGAGCCCTGAAACATTCCTCTTGAGTGGCTCAGAATACTCCCGAGTCATCCACACATGAATCTTGCAGCATCAAGACACAGTTGAGCCACTGTGGGCAGTTTATTGAAGTTCATGGTCAGGGTAGGAAGGCAGCAAGCCACCCACAGGCTGAGTCCACTGTCCACGCACCTCCCGTCCCCAATAGCAGTAGTGGCCTCTGGGGCCTGCTGAGTTTAAGCTATGTCTTCCACTTCTTCAGGGGGCTTGTCAGACTTGGTAAGGGCGAGGGCAACCCTCCCATAGCCTCCTGAAGCACAAACTCCAGGCACCAGAACCTCCCCTTCCACGAGTAAACAATCCGTGATCAGACTCCTGTTGTCCCTGAGGCTTGTCTGACTACACTGGCTCGTTTGTCTTCCATGGCACTTCCACGGCACAGGTCTGGGGCACAAGCTGCTACCTCCAGCTCTGCCTCACGGTAGTGACTGTGGGAAAGACACAGGCTGAGAAGGCTGAGCTGGGGAGGGCCCATGCCACAGGGTGGGGACAGACCTACCCTCCAGACTTAGGGTGGGCACTGTGACTGGGCTCTGGGGGGCTCCCTGAGGGGGGTCTGCTCCAGATGAAGGCAGGAGGTCCTGTGGAGAGCAAAGGTCAGCTGGGTAGCAGGGTCCCCACCTCCCACCTTCCCCACAACTGCTCTGACCTGTATGCCAGGGGGGGATCTCTCTGGCTGTGGAGGAAGGGGCAGTGCAGCTCCCGTCTGCTGGATAAACTGCTGCAGGTTGCACTGACGCAACTCCCGGTTCAGTTCCTCCAGCTCTTGTGCCTGAGCCTGGGGCACACAGGACCTCAGGGGCCAAAGCCACCAACCCCATGGCCTTTGTGCCCTAGAATTTACTCTCTCTAGTCAGATCCTGTGTCAGACCCCAGGTCCTAGCTATCCAGGGTGGGGAGATGGCATGAGCTGGGGTCTCTGGGACTCACCTGTAGTGCACATTCAGCTGCTTCCAGAGCCCGGCTCACCAGGGCCAGGCTGCCCTGCACCTCCACACTCTGCCGCTCCTGGATAGCCAGGTCTTGGCGTAGGCGCTCAGTGGCAGACAATGTAGCAGAGGGGTGCACAGGGGCCTCAGCAACCAGCAGCTCAGCCTCCAGGGCACGGGCCTGTGCATCCAGGGCCTGCAGCTGGGCAGCATGCTCTGCAGTGGCTGCACTCAGCGCCTGCAGACGTGCCTGCCCCTCTCGTTCCCTGGCTTCTTCCCACTTTAGCTCCTGCTCCCAGAAGGCCTCATGGCCCAGCTCCTCTGCATTCCTGTGTACCCTGAGCTCCATGCTCTGTATATCTTCACAGCAGCCTAGGTTGGGTGCCCCAGGTGCTGGAGACTCAGAAGATGAAGGGTTGGGGGCCAGCTTGGGACAACCCAGGCTAAATGTCAGTGCTCTGTGGGACCTTTGGTCTGGTGTTGCCCGAGGCTTGGGGGGCAGGCTGGCACGAACTGGACATCGTTCTGGGGGCGGACAGCTGTCAGAAGAGGGCCTTCCAGCCAGGCTGGGCCCTGTCCGCCTCAGTACAAACTGGACATCACTGGCAAGCTGCCCACAAGTGGCCTGGGCATCCACTGGACACTCTTGTGGCAATAGCTGACGTTCTTTCTCCTTAAGACGCTGCACAAGTACAAAGCGACCTGTCTGGCCTGAGGGAGAAGGAAGAGGTCAACTGGAAAATGGGGCAGCCTCACCCCAGCCTCACCTATTGGGCCTATCAGCAACCACGGGACTTACCTATGGCTTGGGCTAATGCAATGACCACGTCCTGGCAGGTGGTCTGCTCTGAGACCCCACAGACCACCCGCTGAATGCCATCCACCCACACCTTCAGCTCCATGGTGGACAGCCCCAGAACCATCCCGGTCCTGTGAGGAGGAGACAGGCTACAGGTCAGGTCCTGCCTGGCACTCCCCTCCTACTTCTCCTTAGCTGGTAACTCCGGTTCAGAGTTTTGGCCTCTCAGCGACCGGCCCTGGCCTATGCCCAGCCCCACCCAGAGGCCGTGCATTCCTTGGGTGGCCAAGGAACTATTTTGGCCATGGTTCCCTCTACTCCATCTGCATCCACACCAGAACGTGGCGAATCATTAACCAGGTCCAGGATTTCCTGTCCACCCGCCACCTCCTGCACCACCTGGCTCAGAGGGCACTGCCTCCTCCTGTAGGCGGCCATCCCAAGCGCCCAAGGACGCTCATACAAACAAGACGTTGTCCTCTGCTGTCCTCTCCGCCCCCCCTCCACAAAAAAAAATGACCTTCTCTAGCCCCAGAAAAGCCTTGTCACGACCCAGACCTGACCTTCGTACCTGAACCCCAGGCCTGGCAGCCCTTCCGGCCTGGGCAGTGCCCAGCCGGGCTCCAAGTTCCTCCGCCTGGGGAGTGCGCTAGTCCCGGAAGTCAGCACCCGCGCCAGGACGCCTGGCTGCGAGGGACCCTGGGTGCCCTGTCCGCGGCGGGCGGTTTTAGGTGAGCCTGGCCCGCTAGCCCAGTCCCGCGAAAGACTCCTCAGCGGAACTCGGCGCCTGGGACAGGCCGAGAACCCAGTCCGCTCACCTGGTTGATCACCAGTATCCGGCCCTGGGCACTGCAGCACCTAGACAACCTGCGGCCCCGCGCCCGGCGCGCCCCAGCCCTGGCACCTCATTGGCCCGCGGCCCGCAGGCTCCGCCCCAAAGTGCCCCAAGGAGCCCTATGGCGTGGGCCCTCGGCTTCACGACCACACCCATTCTGCCTCCTTCCGCCCTGCCCCATTGGCTTGACTCTTCTCCGCCTGGCGGCGACCAGGTGTGGGCAGGGCCGAGGCTCATGGGGCGGGGTCAGCCTCGGGCAGGGACCCCGCGAAGCAACTAGCTGCCCGAAACGGGACGGAAGGGTGTCTGTGGCGCTGGTCCACGCGCAGCGAGGTGCTTCAGGTGTGCAGCCTCACTCCCAGGCCGACTTCCTCTGTAGCGTAGCAGTGTGACTGGTCCTGGACCAAGGACTGGGGCGCCGGCCCCGATTTCGCATCCTTGGCGTGCGTCGGTGAGGCGAAGGTGCCGTAGCCTCCTCCTTCCCCGCCTCTCTGACCTTGTTCCCTTAGAGTCGGCCAGTCGGCGGCCGGGGAGGAGGGTTGGGATGATAGTGAGCGCCCTTCGGGGAGGCGGAGCCCTAAGGGTCCACGGAGCTCCTGGACTGGAGCTGGTGGGCGCTGGAGCCCTGTGGGGGAGGGGACGCCCGAGGCTTAGGGACAAAGCACCAAGGTCTTTGTTTGAGATGCCCTCCTGAGCTGTGGAGGCCAGGCCTTCTACTGTTCGAGTGGGTTGGAGCCCCTCCCCCACTCCCCTTGCTGTCCGGAGCGAGAAACTCAAGCCCGCCTGGTGAGCTTGAGGTGGGTGGGGCCCTTGCCTGCTCAGGCACAAAAGTGGAAGTTGTGTGCGATCAGGACAGGTGGCCCGGGCTGGAGTGCTCCACAATGTCATGGGCAGAGGGAATGAATGTCTCCTGGTCCATCAAAGAGGCTCTCCACCGCCCAGGGGCTGTAGAAATGGAGAGGTATGAGCGCCAGCGTTGCGATCTGAGGCCAGAGCTCCGCCGTGGGGTGCAGCACCATTACTGCTCCTCCTCATTTTCAGTTCTCCCGAGTCAGCTCAGTGTCCTGCTTCCTACAATTTTGGAACACACCCACACCCACTGTGGGCTCCCCACAGAGCACTAAGGCCCCAAATACCAGCAGATAAACAGCTAGTCCAGGGCTACAGGATTCTGTGTGGTCCCCTGTCTGGCTCAGCTTAGCAAGGTGGTGTCCCAACCTCGGGCATCTCTGCTTATAGACTAGTGTCTCCCTGGAGGCTGCTGGTAACAAACACCCCTCCCCTCCTGAGTGTCTGTAACCGGGGCAACAGTATAGAACCCTTCCCTCCTCAGACTTGCTAGGAGCTCAGGCCTCAGGTGAGTTGGGGGTGAGCCCCTGAGCTGGGGTCGGGGGCTGCGGGGGGAGACACAAGTAAGGGGCACAGGAACAGCGGTAGCACCTCTGATTCTTGGTTAGGCTGAGAGCAGAGGACATAAAGTTAAGATAGCAGGGAAAGTGGGCACACTGTGGACGTGTGTAGTCGCACGTCCTGGCCATCTCTGTGGGCATTCTTAGAAAATCCCCTGTGACCTGGCTGTGCTGCCTAGTCCTCTCTGACACAGAAGGAGAGCCTGATGGCATCTGAGATGTAGGGCAGACTTGGCCCTGCCACCCCTTGAAGCTCCCTGCCTACTTCTAGTATGGCCCCTGAGCCTGGCCATGAGTCTGAAGAGGAACAGGTTCCCCTGGCCCTGGCAGGAGGGAAGCCATTTGGAAATGACTCAGGGCCTCCAGCCACCATACCTACAGACACCACGGCTTCCTCATGCTCCAGAAATACCAGGCCCCCCTCCATGGGGGTGGGCTCCACCAGCATACAGTAAGGAGAAGGTGGGTGGCTTGCCTGCTGGGCTGGATCATCCAGAGGGCCAGGCCTGATGGTGCAGTGGGGGTGCTGGTGCTGTAGGTTGGCACCTGAAGCCCTGGACCCCTGTACTCTACGGCTTCTGTGGGAGCAGCGAGAACTAGAGATCCAGGCCCTGCGGTGGGCCATCCATCATGGCAAGCATGCCCGGCACCAGCACATCCTGCAGGAGGTAGCAGGACTTCCACCTGAGAGGTCAGCCCAACTCACCTTCTGTCCTTCCCTGACAGATGAGCCAGCCCTCACCCTGACCTTGGTCTCTAATACTAATACTACGCTTCACCTGCCCTGATGTTCCACCCTAACCTCAAGTTAGCTGCGAGCTGGAAACCAACCCTAAATGGGCAACCAACCCCTCCCCAGACCTGCTGGGCCCGATCTGCCCTGGCCTGCTGCACTGCGCCCCAGCATGTGATGGCAGTGGGCCCCTCTTTTGATGCTGACCCGGAGGTGGGAACAACTGAGTTGCTCCTCCTCCCAGGAGCTCCCACAGCCAGGATGCATTCCTGCAGAATCAGGTCCAGAAGCTGACTCTGGAGCTGAGAGCACAGAAGGAACAAGCCCATCTGGTGAGGGTGTAGGGTGGGATCTGGCAGGCCCCAAGGGAGGGGGCATCCCTCACTCCCTGCCACTCCTTCTCAGGAGAGGGAGTTCTTGAAGGTGCAGTTAGCACAGGCCACAGATAAGCTGCAGCAGCTGGAGGCTGAGCTGCAAGCCTTCCAGAAGTCCTGCCTCCTGCATCTGGCCCAATCCTCCTGGGTGGGGCGCGTCCTGCGGTCACAGACTGGCAGTGTAGAGGTGAGCCCATGCCCTGGCCTGCTGCACTCTGCCTCCTCTGCATCTCTCCCCAACCCACCCTGGCCACTCAAGGGCAGCTATTGGCCCTCATCCAAGCAGGTTTCTCTTTGGGCTCCTAGCCAGCCTGGACATTTTCTGGCTTGCTGCTCCCTATCCCAACACAAATTACTGGTAAGGTCAGGAGGGAGAGGTGTACAGGGCATTGGTGCCTTCCCACCAGGCTCTGTCCAGTGGCTGGTGGGCCTTTCCTGTAGGTGATCACTGCAGAGACTCTAATAGAGTCTGAGGACTCCTCTGAGGACAATCGGGAGCCCACTGCTGGAGAGGTGAGCAAAGTGTCCCCCACACCTGTTTAGGCCTTTGGGTCCTGCAGCTGAGTAGAGTGTGTGCCTCTTGTATTCTGGCCAGGGATTCCGGCTGGAGGATGTGGATTGGAACAGCATTGCTCAGCGGTACCCTAACCTCCTCACCAGCATCCATTCCAGCTCAGACCGAAAGTAATTCTGCTGGGCAGGAGTCCTAGGGTGGGTGGGTTGCCCTAGCAGAAGTGGACTGGGGCCCAGTTCTAACCTTACAGTATCCCTAGAGTAGTCACACAACTCCATCTTCAGCTCTGATCTGTAGAATGAGGAGGAAGGGAAAGAAGGGCGGGGCAGGGCAGGGCGGGACTTTGGGACGTCAGCTCTGCTGTAATGGGACCTGTGTCCCGGGTGTGTGGAAGCATAGCTGTGCAGGGCTGGGCCTAGGAGCCAGGGCAGCCAGTGAGCAGAGCATGGTCCCAGGCAGCTGCGGCTGCCCTCAGGCTTGGACTCACCAGGCTCGGACTCTCCCCGCAAGCTTGTGGAGAGGCAGCACAAAAGCCTGGAGTGGAGCACTCTGCCCTGTGCAGGCACCAGCAGCTCAGGGGGTGCAGACTCGGACTCCAGCAGCTGCCAGCTGGTCCTGCATCCCCGGGTGCAAAGGGTGATAGGGCACCCACCACCGGCAGTAGACACGGCCTCCTCTGAGCAGACTGCAGTGTTGGCAAAGAGTTTCATCAGAGACTCCCAAGGTGTGCTATGGGGCTCTCCTCATCACTACATCTCTGCATAGAGCTCCTTCAGCCCCCAGGGTTCCGCCCCTTTCCTCCCAGTCACCCAGCTCTAGTCTCCCAGGAGACAGCCTTATTGGATGCCACATGGCTGACCCCCTTCCTGAAAGGACTACCCTTCCTAGATAACCAGAAATTCGGTTCCCATCCATTTGGCCAGACCTTGCTGGAGCCGGTCCCAGACCTTTGCCACTGGGACACAGGGCATGCAGCAAGGTGAGGGGCAGCCCAGTTGGACCGGGTCAGGATGGTGGGCAGGCAGGAGTCGGGGTCACCTGGTGTCTGCAGGGTGCTTGCTCCCACTTCAGCCGGGCCGGTGGCAGCCTGCAGATCGTGGCTGTCAATCAACGGGAGAAGTTCGTGCGCATCATCAATCGCTCGTCACAGGACGCTGCAGACTTGGGCGGCTTGGTGTTGCAGCAGCGAGTACATGACTGCCCGGTGCGCATGTTCCGCTTCCCGCGCGGCACGGTGCTGGAGCCACAGCACCACCTCACGGTGCGCACGGTGCACCTGCGTGTCCCGCCCCTCCCCTTCTGCGTCCAGCGCACCTGGCTTCATCTTGTGCCCGCCGTTCCAGGTATGGGGCGAAGGTACTGGCGGTGTCCAGCAGCATCCACCCTTTTCCTCTGGCCAGGACCCTCTCCGATTTCACTGTAGCCGGGTCTGCGTGACGCTCCTCCTGGACTCTGAGGGCCAGGTCAGAATCATGGCACCCTAGGAGGCAGCTGCCAGCCTGGCGATGTTGGGTGGCTGACACACTGCTGTGGTCTGCAGGTCCTCAGTGAGTACCAGGTACCACTCCGTGTGACTTCAGGCTCAGACGTCTTCACGGACAACACTGACTGGTCCATCGACCGCTTCCCACTTCCTGAGGCCAGGGCTGGAGCCCTCACCAGAGAGCCCAAGAACCAACCTCGGCCCCCGAGCCAGGGCCGGGTGCAGGAGGCCAGAGCTGGACGCCGGAGGCCAGGGTGGGCACCACAAGTGCTTTTTTCGGGTGCTCTTCCTGGGGCTTCCCAGATTCCCTCCGCTGGCCGGGAGGGTCAAGAACCCCACTCCCCATCCACTTGCTCCCCCTAACTCCCATCAGGTCACGGCACCTTATGCCACTCCTGAGTCTCCGGAAGCCTGTCCATGTGCGGGAGGGGCCAACGCGGCTCCCAGGCACCAAGTTCGCTACAATGCCGGGCTCCCTGCCTACCATCCCGGGTGAGTGTGGGTGCCAGGTACAGGGGCGTGAGGGCAGGATGCACCTAGCCTGACTACCTCCCTCCCTACTCTCAGAGGCGGCAGAGGTGGCGCGGAACTTGGAGCTTGGTGCGCCAGGGAAGGAACGCGATGTCTGCGTGAGTGTGCGCCCAACCCTAGCCCACCCCACCTGCCTGCAGTGCCTCTGGCCAGAGACATCAGGGCTTGACATCTTCCCCGACCCCCCACCCCCTCCAGGTATGCCGGAGAGGTGTGGACCTGGGCTGCCCCATGGTGGCCCTGTCTGTGCAGAGCACAGCTGAGAGCCGGTTTGGTTTCCGATTCCTATGCTGCCCGCCCATTACCGCTGATGTTCACCAACGCCTGTGGAGGGTGTAGACTACCCAGGGATCCGGCTGCATTATTTATTGACCAGAGTGGTCTACAAAGTAAACCATATTCTGCACCCCAGTCAAAATGATTCACTTGGTTTCTGGGGTACCTGTCCCAAGAGGAGCAACTGCATCCTGCCCTTGGATGGGGACCAGGGATGGGAAGCTGGGTGGGAGGAGCGGCTTGGACCTGGCCCCCTGGAAAGCCCAGGCCAGTTCTAAGCACCTGGCCCAGGCCTGCCTGGCTGACCTTTCCCAAGAAGCCCAGGACCCAGGGAAGGTCCCAACTCTGACTCCCATCCACCAAGAGGAAGCTTTCTAGGCCCAGGCTCACCTCCCACCCTCACAGCCCAGGTGCTCTTGGTCTGTGGCACCAGGGGGCCCCCAGGGCTCCCAGGATGCTAAGGGTTCCCTTTGGGCACTGTCCAGGCAAGTCCAGCGGTGGTGGGCTTTTCACCAAGGGTAGGGATGGACTGGGGTAAATAGCTCAGGTACCACAGGCAGCAGAGGGCTGGGGGTCAGGCTGCTGGATCCAGGGCTGGCTCTGGTTCTGGACATCACTGGGCTCACGGGTGGGACCTGAGGCCCCCTCTAGGGCCCTCTGGGTGGTCACTGGGGCCAAACCTTTGCCCAGGCCAGGCCCCAGGCTGCCCAGGGCTCTGAGTCTCCGTCTTCTGACCCGAAGGTCAGCAGAGCCCCAGGGGAAGCTCTTGGCTGAATCAGCTGACATTGGGTCCTTTGGTGGAGAAGGAAGCAGGTGACAGCACAGTGTCCTACTAGGATCTGGAAGGCAAGAAAAGACCATGTCACAGAGGCCCCAACAGACATAGGGTCTCCAGGAGGTGGAAGGTTCCTTTCCACCAGTCTTCCAGCCTTGGGTGGTAGCCATCTGAGGGGAGTAGTATCACTGCCAGAAGGATCTTTAGTGTCTGCTGTGACCCTCTAGGTGCCAGCAACCTTGTTGCCCAGGCCCACTGCCTATACTCCCCAGAAATCCTGTTCCCTGGATCTTGAACTCTGACTGTGGCTTGGGCTGGCCACTTCCAGGGCAGATAGAGGCCTGAAAGCCCAGACCCTAGCTTTGAGTCAATAAGACTCCATCCCTGATAGTTTCCTGGAGGTTGAGGGCCCTGACCAGTAACTAAACCTCTGCTACAGTAAGACAGCTCATTGGGATCATCCAGCACTTTGTTCGACCTGGTACTTGGAACAGGAGGCCTTTTTCCAGAGTGTCCCTGCCTTGTTATCATTCCAGCCACCCCTCCTCCTGGCGACCTGTTTGCTGCCCACCCACCCTGCAGTCCTCATCCACAGGGGGCTGCTGGTAGCCACTCATGATTTTCTTAAGACACTTCTCCAGGCAGCAGGCAGACCTGGCCTAGTCCCCCAGGGTCATTCTGTTGAACCTGAATCCCTGTTCCACCAAGGTCAGTGCCCTTTTAAGGCTCCCTACTTGGCTTGATCCTTGGTCCCTGAGTCCAGCACAGGTTCTCCCAGTGAGGCACATCAGCAGGGATGTGGGATTAGACCCCTAGCTGTGAGCCCCTCCCACCAGGAGAGCACTGCATGGCGCAGCTCTCCTGAGCGGGTAGGTGGACTTGAGGCTCCTGTCTCCAGGTGGGGGGATAGTACCTGCAGCCATGCCCAGGGAACTATCCCTGGGAGAGGGATTAGGCCCAGCCTGGTCCTCTTGCTGTTCAGGAGGTCTCCAAGGATCCTGGGGGGCTGTAGCCCCTTTCTGCTGGGATCCCAGTGGCCTGTAGGAGAAGTGGGAGCTAAGGCCTAGGCTTTACTGACCGATGTTGGCCTTTTCCACCAGCCTGGGGCTCCCACCACCAGTTTATTTGGGTTCCTGGGACAGGTGACCTCTCAGCCAAGCCTTCCCCACCCCCAAGTCCCCCAAGCCAAACGGGACACATGGTAGTAGGACTTGAGAGGAGGGTACTCACCACAGGCCAAGCTCCCTCCAGGCTGGAAGCCTAGCCACCACCAGATCACAGCTGTATGTAGAGTCAGGCCCTAAAGTGGAGGGAGTGGCAGCCACACCTGGTCTGGACAGCAGCGCCTGGGCCTGGGGAGGAAGAGGATTGAGGTGGAGACCTTGGCTGGCATGGCTGTAAGCAGGGTACTTTCATACCAGCAGCCCCCAATGCTGGGTTCCCTATAGAAGAAAGGCCTGGGTGCCAGCACCTCCCCCCCCAGTGGGCTAGAGTCCTGGCCCACTTAGGGATGGGACAGATGTACCTGGCACTGGTACCTGCGTTCCCGCAGGCCTTTGGTGGGGTTCCCACAGAGGACCTGAGCAGCACCTGAGGAAGAGTTTGTGGCTGAGCTTGGCTTGGGTGTAGGCCTGCAAATTCAGTCTGGGCTGGGGTGGGTCATTTACCATGGGTCAGGTTGCTGGAGTGGTCTTCACAGGCCAGGTCCTGTGGGAGCAGGCCTTCAGGCAGGAGTCCTCCTGGGCCCACCAGGGACAAAACCCAGGGCTGGGTCTCAGGCAGTGTCACTGCGGGGTCACGTTTCTGCTGGATAGTTCCGTGAGTATGACCTGGCCAGGATCAAAACCAGAGGTCAGTCCCAGACTCTGTCCTGAGAGCATGATCCTGACACCAAGAAGTACTTAGGAGGCTGAGCAAGAGGACTGCCATGAGTTTGAGGCCAGACTGGGCTACATAGTGAACTTAAGTTCAGCTTAAACTACCCAGTAAGACCCTGTCTTGAAAATAATAAATAAAAATAGGGCCAATGAGATAGCTCAGCTGCCTAAATGCCTGCTTAGGCAAGCGCAGGGACCAGGGTTGGATCCCCAGGACCACATGCCATGCTGACCCCGCTCCTGGGAATGCTGAGCCAGCCACTGAGACCATGGCATGGGTGCATGGCTGTAATTCCAGGGCTGGGGAGGCTGAAAACAGAAGGATCACTACGAGTTCCAGCTGCGTAGTGAGACCATGTACCATATGCCAAATACATAAAATAAATAAAAAATAAATACATAAATAAATAAAGAGGCTGGCCACTGACAGTCTCTTCCCTTCCAGAGAGACCCTCAGCCCAGACTCTCTGCAGACCAAGGGGAGGACTAGGTGCTACTCGCAGAGTCAGCATCCCAGCAAGGGGCAGCCATGTATCTTGGAGAGGCCTAGGGGTTGGGGATCCCTTTCCCGGGGGCGAGGGCCAGGTCTCTTCTGGGGTGGGGTGCTGGGGTAGTGGCTCGGTTTCCAGGTCTGCCCTACCCAGTGGGGGGAGGATACTGTCCAGCATGCTGCCTTCCTTGATGGCCTCTTTCACCATGAGCCAGTCCTGGCTCAGCTTTCGGGGCATAGGCAGGTCAGTGTAAGTGGTGGGTACTTCATCCAGGATGCGCAGCTGGGGGACTAGTTTCTTCACCTCTGCCCTGTAGTTGTAGCACTCAGGGGCCTGCAGAGAAGAGAGAAGTGGTGGGCCTGGTCCCCTCGGCCCTTCAGACCTGGTGAGTCCTGGTCTTCCTAACTGGGCTCTTCCCCTTGGCCCATGGGACATGCGGCTTCTCCACTGTCTGGCCCTGGTCCAGATCCAGGAATGCCCTCTGGCCAGTGGGACTGCCCTAAGCTGAGGGTCTGACTCTGCAGAGTGGCCCCTCTTTCTTGGGTGGGTGCTGAAGCTGGCACAGGTATCACCAGGTGTAAGTGCAGGGTGCACCTGGCAATGCAGGGGCAGGGGCCCATATCCTGCAGGGTGCTGGGGTAACATCCCCAAGCAGGGTACTATGTGAGTGCATCCCAGTGGTACACAGGCCTTTGGGGGCCAAGATGGCCATGGGCAGGGCCTGTGTAACTGTATGGATGCACACACGTGTGTTCCTGTTGCCAGGCCTCCTGGGGCACAGCGTGGGGTAAGAGGTGGCATGTGTGCATGTGTCTGTGGGGCCCATCATGCTGGCCCTGGCAGATGCACTAGCTGTGGGCTTCCAGGTTGAGCTCACAGTCGATGCAGGGGCCAGGTTCCCCCCAGCAATGTTGCCCAGGTGCCCAGTTCCCACACCTTGTTGGCTGGGTCCGAGGCTGGCTGCAGGCACACCAGGTTACCCTCCAGGGTGAGTGTGGCCAACTGTGGGCACAGCTGCAGGTAGCGAACCTGCCCCAAGTCCTCCAGGTTGTTACCCTCAAGATCCAGCACCTCCAGCTGGTCGAGCAGGCACAGTGGGCTCAGGTCTGAGATGTCATTGTAGGAGATGTAGAGCTCCTGGGGACAAAGGAGTCTCAGAGCCTGCCTGGCCACCCCTCCTTCCCCACCCCAGGGGCTGCAGACCCACCTTCAGCCCTGGAAAGGAGCCAATGCCATCCAGGTCAGTGAGGCCACAGCGAGCCAGCCAAAGCACCTGTAGGTGGCCCAGAGAGGTGCCCAGGTCTCTGTGGACGGGGCACCTGGTTAGTGTTACCCTGGGACAGGGGGCACTGCATCTGGCTGCCTCCAGAGGTGGGAAGAGACCCTAATCCCTGCTACAGCCACCTGCTCTGGGCTGCTGTTAGAGGGTCCTCGCTTCTCCAATGTTGGGTAGGCTGGGCCTGGTCCTAGCTTGAGCTACAGGAAGCTGCCTTTACCCTGAGTAACCTGATCCAGCCTGACCTACTGTCCACCACCATGCCTCCTTGCCTGGCTCCTGCTGCAGCTGTAGAGCATCCCTGTACTTTACAGCTGGCTTCCTTACAGCCAGCATTTAGTACTTAGGTGCCCATGAATTCGTCTATGCTGTTTGCCTCCAGCTCATGACCTGCTTTGCTTATTTCTTAGCAGTTCATCTGTCTCTGCCTGGCAGGCTCCTGGCTGGGATTTGTGTCTGGGGATTCCTCCAGGTGGCTCAAAGAAACTCTTTTATCTCTAGCTGCTTACAGATGTCTGCGCTGTCTGCTCATGTAGTTGTTTGTTGGGCTCCTTCCATCTCCCTACTATGCCCTGCTCCACTGATTTCTGGTTTCAAGTGTTTCAGTGATGAAGTCTGATTTGTTGCATTTTTATCTGTACAAGACAACTTGGGTTGGGAGTAGTAGTACTCACCTGTTAGGCCATATTCAGCAGGCTGAGGCAGGAGGAGCAAAAATCTGAGGTCACCCATAACTTAGTGAGACCTTGTCTCAAGATAAAAGCCAAGCATAGTGGCACCCAACTGTAATCCTAGCCCTTGGGAGGCTGAGGCAGAAGGGTCATTACAAGGAGACTAGCTTGGGCTACAAAGTGAGCTCACATCCAGCATGAACAGCATAGACAGACCCTGTCTCAAAAGGAAAAAAGAAAAAAGGGCTGGGGGTTGGGGAGCTAGCTTGGTGATTTAAGTGTCTGCCTGGCAAGCACAAGGGTTCAATCCCTGATAACATATGCCATCCTGGCCTGGAAACTTCCTGTAATCCCACCGTTGGAGAGGCTAAGACAGGAGGATCACTATGAATCCAAGTAGCAAGACCCTGTACCAAAAAAAAAAAAAAAAAAAGGGCTGGGATATGGGCTATAGATCAGTGGTAGATTGCTTCCCTGGCACTGAGAAAAGAAAGCCCAGCTTGATCTGTTTTCCTGGATGCTCATATTGTTGCTCTGACCTGGTAGTCAGGGTCTTCATCAAGGTGTGTCCAGGCTAGTGCTGAGGCTCAGCTCCCTCTCGTTTGCAGATGTAAGTTGCCACCTGCCTCTTCATCTCCTTTTTCTTCCTCTTTTCCCTCTTGTCCTTGTTTTTCTTTTTTTTTAATTTAATTTAATTTAATTTATTTGTGTGTGTGTGTGTGTGTGTGTGTGGCCAGCTCAACCCACCAGGGGGCGGGGCTGGCTGGCATGTGGTGCTGGGGATTGAACCGCGGTCCCTTTGCTTTGCTAAACTTGTTCTAAATAGGTGCTTTAGACCACTGAGCCATCTCACCAGCCCTGTCCTTGTTTTTCTGACAAGCTTTTTTTTTTTTTGCAGAACCGGGGATTGATCTCAGGTCCTTGTGCTTGCCAGGGAAGCGCTTATTCCACTGAGCCATCTCCCTGGCCCCTGACAAGCTTCTTTTAATCTGTTCTATTATTTTAGTGATTTGCTCAAATTCCACTCGTGGTCTTGTCCATCTATTTCCTCCTTCCTGTCTTCTGTGGCTGCCTTAGGGTTTCTGCAGCACTGTCTTCAGAGCTGTCCTTGTCCCCATCATGGTCCATTCCTTTCCAGAGCTCACCCTGTGACCCACAGCAGGCTCAGACAGGCCCTGCTGCAAGGGGGTGCTGTTGCTCCATGTCTCTGGGGTTCACTGGCCCAGCCAGGTCAGTACCCCTTGTCATAGGGGTGTAAATATAAGGGCATTAAAGAAAAAATAGCCTACAGAAGCTCCAGACCTTGGAGCAGATAAGAGATTGACAGGAACATTACAAGATTCTTAAAACTAATGATAAAAAGCAAAACATACCACATGGAATTCCACCTGAAGCTACACATGAAGAAAAATTAAGGTTTTAAATGGATTTATAGGGCCAGCCTAATAGCTTAGTGGATTAAAGCATCTGCAAGCAGGTGCATGGGCAGGGGGTTCCATCCCCGGGCCTTCCATGCTGGCCCTGCCCCTGGGGTGCATTGAGATGTCAATTGAGACTGGGTGTGGTGGCAAGTGCCTGTAATCTCAGCTCTTGGGAGGCTGTAAACAAGAGAATCACTACAAGTATGATCTAGTAGTGAGACACTGAACACCCTGTAGATCCTTCCCTAAAATACAGAAAAAAACTGGATTTATCAAGCCCTGCGTCATGACTGTGTCTAGCTGTCCCCCCAAAGTCTCATGGCTGCCTCTCCTAATAGTGCTCTGCAGGGTGTCAGGGACATGGAGGGAGACAAATGATGCCACGACAAACATGGAACTTAAGAGTAGGAATAACGGTGGGCACAACAGTAGTGTATGACACCACTGTCCACTCAGCATAAAGTAGCACAGATAGGGATTTTTTTTGGCAGAACTGGGGATCGAACTCAGGCCCTTGTGCTTGCCACGGACACACTTATTCTACTGAGCCATCTCCCTGGCCCCCCACAGACAGTGTTGAAACCAGCCAAAGTTGGTACTGACATAACAGAAAACTTCACTAGACTGATAGACATCCAGAAATCTCCAGCTCTGAACCATTATTTTTTAAATTTTTTTGGCAGAATTAGGGATTGAACTCAGGCCCTTGCACTTGCCAGGGAAGTGCTTATTCCACTGAGCCATCTCCGGGGCCCCTGAACACTCTTTCTTTCTTTCTTTCTTTCTTTCTTTCTTTCTTTCTTTCTTTCTTTCTTTCTTTCTTTCTTTCTTTCTTTCATCTTGTGTGTGTGGCCTGCTCAGCCCACCAGGGGGCGGGGCTGGCTGGCATGTGGTGCTGGGGGAATCAAACCCTCATCCCTGTGCTTTCCCAAGCTTGTTCCAAGTAGGTGCTTTAGACCACCGAGCCATCTCTCCAGCCCAGGCCCTTGTGCTTACCAGGGAAGCACTTATTCAACTGAGCCATCTCCTTGGCCCCTATTTCTTGGTTTTGTGAGACGTTCCTATTCCCTTTTCGTCCACCTCCCCTCCTCTTGCCATTCTAGTCTGTCGCAGGTTGGTTTCAGTTCCATTTCCAGATCTGCACATGTTTTGTTGAATTCTGCCTGATTATTTGATAAACAGCAGCATAAAGAGGAAAAATCATGAGGACATTTAAAATGAATTTGCGGGGCCAGGGAGATGGCTCAGTGGAATAAGTGCTTCCCTGGCAAGTGCAAGGGCCTGAGTTTAATCCCCAGTTCTGTAAAAAAAAAAGAATTTGCTTAATAAATACTTTTATCACCTCACCTGGAAAGGATGGCACAGGTACTTGGAGCCCAATTCAGACAGCTGAGAATTCTAGAATTTTGAATAGAATTTTTCTGCCGTGGGCTGCTGGGCTCAGATTACATAAGACTAGTTAGCAGTTTTTGCTGGGCTTTGAACTCAGGGCCTTTGCATTTAGATACAACCCCAGCTCTTTTTTTTGTTGTTTGTTTTTTTAATCATCTATTTATTTATTTGGTACAGGGTTTCGCTATGTAGCTCGTTCTTGTAGTGATCCTCCTGTCTCACCCTCCTCTGTGCTGGGATTACAGGTGTGTGCCACTATGCCTGGTTTATGGTGTACCCATGCTTCTGGGGTTGGCACGGAATACGGTACCAGGAATTGAATCTGGATCCTTGCACTTGCCACGCAGGCACTTAGGCCATCAAGCTATCTCCCCAGTCCTATTTTTTATATTGAGACAATGTCTTGCTAAGTCACTAACTTGGCCAGACTGAGCCCAAACTTGCACTCCTCCTGCCTCCGCCTCTTGGGTGTTCAGTCACAGTCATGTCCTTTTCACCTAGCTAAATCAGCAGCATTTTCATAAGACCCTCTTTTCTCCAATGCCCTAGAACAAAGTCTGATATTATTCAGCTTTGTTCTATGCAGTCCAGATGTTAAGAACCATAAGACTATCTCTAGTTTTGAAGGTTGTCTTTTAGGTTACTAAGAAGTAAGATGATGTGAGAATGTGGAGCTTTTTCAGCCATTAAGGCCCTTTTTCAGGAGACGTGGATTTTATGCAGGTCTGTGTCATCTTGCAAGCCAAGGCCACCTGTTTCTCTTGCCAGGCTGCCAGCCACCCTCGCTTCTCACCCTTATCATACAGCTATCTCCATACCTCCTTGGTTGTTTTTGCAGTGTCTGCCAAAAGCCTTTCACTATCTAGGTCTCTGCTTGAGGTCCAGTACCTTTTAGGCTACTCAGTCTCAGGAGGTAGTGGGACCACCCTGGCCCCCATCCCTGAGTCTGCATGTGGGTGCCTCTCACTATGGGGTGTCAGGCTGGAGGCAGATTGGAGAATGCTGGGACTCAGGCCCAAAGGAACCTTTCCCTGGAGAGACCTCACCTGCAGCAAAAGTCTCAGATGCCCCTCCACTGTCACTCGCACTCCTGGCACTGAAGGTGAGGCTAGACTCCCACCAGGGTGTACAGGAGGCCCTAGACTCCACCCCAGGGCAGGACCCATGCCCGGCTGCACTCACCTGAGGGAGCCCAGGCGACTGCCGGTCAACTTCAGCTGGCTCAGGTTGGGCAGGTACACCCCTGGGGCACAGGAGGAGGGGTTGGCTTGGCCCTCGGGCACTCACTCCACTGCCTGTTCCTCTGGGCAGAAGCCTCTCTCTCCATGTCATCCAGTGACCAGCAGCGCCAGAGGGGCTACTCCTGGGACTCTGAACATGACTGACCACTAGCAGGCCTTACTCCTCAGGGCCTGCTGCCCTGAGGGCTTCCTCCCTCCCACACACTGTTCAAGCAGGTGACACTGGGCTGTCCCTGTGAGACCACAATGCCACCGGACTGATCTCCAGGACCTAGTATAGGGAACAGAGCCAGGCTTCAAGGGTGGGGCTGGCCTGAGCTTCTCACCACCTGCCTACTGATGCCTGAGCACTCCCACCATGGCCTGCATTGTATCAACATGCTGTAGTGGGGACAGACTGCAGAAGTGCCCTCAGCCCCAGTTTTAGCAGGACAGGCACCATAGAGAGAATGGTGTAGGGTGAGCCTGCGGGGCTGGCAGGCAGGGCTGAGGGAGCATGCAAGGGGGCTATGGTGAACCATCAAGAACTTGAGAATTAGTTGCAAAGCAGAAAAAACCAATCACAATGGGACATATTTAACCCCACAGGTAATCATAAAAATGCAAAAAGAGCTCACAACAATCCTGGACAATAAGACTTCTGTTAGGATAGTTGGTATAAACAAATAAGGTCTGTGGTGTAAGAGCCAAGTATCAGAGTCACTTCCTTTTTTTTTTTTTTTTTTTTTTTGCAGAACCAGGGATTGAACTCAGGCCCTTGCGCTTGCCAGGGAAATGCTTATTCCACTGAGCCATCTCCCCGGCTCCCAGAGTCACTTCCTAACCAAGATCATGATACTATGTGTGTGTAAGAGAATGTCCCTGACACATGCCAAAGCTGGGCATGGGGCTGGGGAGATGGCTCAGTGGAATAAGGGCTTTCCTGGCAAGCGAAAGGGCCTGAGTTCAATCCCCAGTTCTGGGAAAAAAAAAATCTTCAAAACCAAAGTTGGGCATGGTGGTACATGCCTATAATCCCAGCACCCAGTAGTTACAGTTGCTATGAATTTGAGGATAGCATGCTCTAAAAAGTGAGTTTAAGGTCAGCCTGAACTACAGAGTGAGACCCTATCTCAAGGAAGCGAGTAAGAGAGAGAAAAGAAGAAAGGAAGAAAGAAGCATGCCAGGCCAGGGATGCAACTCAACAGCATCAGCACCTGTCTGGCAAGCACAAGGTCCTGAGTTTGATCCCCAAAACGCGCGTGCACGCACACACACACACACACACACACACAGAGAAAAGAAAAAAAGCAAAGAAAGAAGCATGCCTTGTATTGATAAGAATCATAGACTCTCAAAAACATCAGAAAGAAGCTGCCCAGGCACGTGTTTGTGTACACGTGTGTGCACATAAGATAGGGAGAAAGCTGAAGCCTATATAAGCAGCAGTTGTGGATAGAACATCTCTGGGAAGGGTTTATGTGGGTTCTTTGTACCAATCCAGCAACATGTGTGACCGGGGATCAAACTCAGGACCTTGTGCTAGCCAGGCAGGTGCTTAAACAGCTGATTGTCCCCCTGGCTCTGTGTGGATTTGAAATTGTTTAAGGTAAACCTAAGGGTCATCTATTTTTTTTTTTGTTTTGTTTTGGCGGAACCGGGGATTGAACTCAGGCCAATGCGCTTGACAGGAAAGCGCTTATTCCACTGAGCCATCTCCCCGGCCCCAAGGGGTCATCTATTTCTACCTTACTGGACATTGTTTCAATTTTTGCTACTTTGATGTGGGTGTGGCCTTGAGCAAAAGGTCGCTTTGGAGAGCAGCTTAGAAACATGGACCATGGGCTCACTCTCTGGCTGTGCCCAACAGGTTAGGGTTTGTTTTTGTGTTGTTGGGGTTCTTTTTTGGTACCAGGGGTTGAACTGAGAACCTTGCACTCGCCAGGTGGGTGCTTATGACCCTGAGCTAGCTCCCTAACCCTATGTGTCCAACAGAAATGATCTCAGTTCTGGGCTAACCCTGCAGGAAGGGAACGGGTATGGCAGTGGGGAGCTCTCACCGAAGTTCCCTAGGCTGTGCTCACGGGTGTCCACACACATCTCCAGCACCTGCACGGTCCGGAGGTCGTCCACCTGGGCCAGGGCCTGCTGCGGAGATCAGTGGGCGTCACTTCCTATGACTGACCTCTCCCGAGTCCTTGGCTGTGTGACTCGGAGGTGGCTCTGGGATACGAGGCAGTACTCCCTGTGTTCCTTGCCTCATCTGTGGGCCTTGGCCACGACACTTGGCTGGTAGTACGCATGTGGATACCATCTGAGCAGAGGCTGGAATTGCTGGGAGGGTGCTGCTTCCAGAGAAGGTCCTGTCCTTGGGCTGCTGGCCTTCAGACAAGGCCTTCACCCCAAGGCTGTGCACAGCCTACCCTGGATCTGTGCATGAGACTTCACCCCAAGGC